GAGTTCTTGAATGAAGCCACTTTGAAAGTAGAGTGAGGTCGGAGGAATGAAACGGTCTGCCCCGAGACCGATGTCAAGGAGGATGGCGGCTAGCTACAATATGAACCTACGTCAGTAGAACCGTTCGGGGTGGGGCAGTGGAAAAAGGAGGGGGTAGGTGGAAGTGTTGCGTGCTGATTTTAAGAGAGAGCTTTGCATGGGTGTAAGATTCTGAAACGTGTGAATGCGTCAGTTCATAAGTCCATGGTTAGTTTGTGGGGGTGGTACTACCCGGTTGTCCAGGCCTAGGTAGAGGGTTTTCTTGGGGGACTCTANGGACTCTACCCGGAGCCTTTGGTTAACGAACCTGACCCGCAAGGCAATAGGGTGGAATAGGGAGTCCACGATCCTCTGGGAACCGGTGACTAGGGGGTGGGGGGCAGTTCATATGCCTTTCGGATGCGGCCAACTATCCAGGTTACCCTTGAGCCGCGCACTTGCCGGTGAGCATCACGGTGGTCAACTCCAAGGACTAACTTTGGAGACCGGCTCGGTTGCGCCGAAGATTGGTGCCACTATGAGCTTCTTAAGCCAGGTGTGGGTGGTTTGGAATCAGGGTTTAGCCAACTCTCCTATACTGACTACCAGTGGTCAGTCAGCTCGGTGGAAAGCGCCGGGCATTCGCTTTTGCCCTCCCACTTTAGTGCTAACACTTCCGCCACGAGAAGGTAGTGGGTAGGACTTCCTCATCAGAAGCTTTTTGAGGCGCTTGGTCCTTTGGGAGCATTTCTTGAGGAGTTCGGGCCGAATAGCCATTTCGGAGCCCGAGACACCACTCCCGACCACACTGAGGCATTTGGAGGCTTATTGTCTCTAATGCTGTTCAGCTTTACCATTGACTGGATAATTGGTTGTTCGACAGAAGGACAACAGAAAGTTCAGGTCTCCGAACCTCTTTCTCACCTACTTAGAATTCGCTGATGATATTGTAGTCTTTGGCGGGGACATGTCCAACCTCCAAGTAGTCGTTGACCACATCAATCGACAGGCCTCCGAGATCGGCCTTGAGGTGAACACATCGAAAGCCAAAATCTTTGCGACAGTCCCGATTCATTCAAAAAATGCTTTACTGGTAAAGGGTGAGCCGATCGAATCTGTCGAAAGCTTTAAATACTTGGGCTCAGCCATACTCCCCAACGGCCAAGCTAAAGACGAAGTGCAAGTGCGCTTCGGTGCCGCAAGAAAGGTGTTTTAACAGCTGAAGAATTCCCTTTGGTTTAGAAATGAAATCAGCCCCAAGACAAAAATCTCAGTTTTCTCCGTAGCAGTTCGTCCTATCTTTCTGTACGGCTGTGAAACCTAACCACTTGGAGTCGAAGACTGTCGACGATCAGAAGTCTTCTATTGCTGGTGCTCAAGAATCATTCCGGGAGTACGATGAAGGGATCAACTCTTAAATTGTTTGGTCACATACTTCGTAAGTCTGATAAAGATCTGACCAAAGCTGCCTTGACACCGCCTCCCTACCCGAATTAGCGCTGCCGACACGGTAGACAGCTGAAAACCTAGCTTGACACGGTACGAAAGGAGACAGAAAACCGTGGTCTCCGCTCCGTCTACGGCATTCTCCAATGGGAGTCAAGCTGGATTACAATCTGCGTTGATTTTGCCACAGACCACCGAGTGTGGGCAGCGGCAATTCGGGATATCCATGAAGCCGGCTTATCCTCTCCCAGGAACCAGCCGCCGTAAAGTAAGTAAGGAAGATCATGGTTGCCGGTTTCCTCCTCAAAAAATGAAACATGACAGTACGAAATCAAGGACGCTCTCTATCTCTCGCTCGCTCTTCTAACTCGCAAAGGGAACACGTATTCATCACCCTTACCAACTTTCGCTTACTGAACCGCAACATTGATTAGATACACCAATTTATCCATTCTGCTCCTCTCGCCTTGTTTGACAAAAACGCAAACCTCTCCCTCGTTAGACCACCGACCTCAAGTCCCCAACTACATTCTCCAATCCTCCTTTCTACCCTAAGATAGTGTCTGCGCCTTTATCCACTAATGAGTCACCGCCTTCAGAATCGCAAACCTTGACTTTTCCTATTGTGAATTTCACCTGATGTTGCTGAAGCCGTGACTTCTTTTCCACCGTTACTTTCGTGTTCTATATCGTTCCCCCGAAAGTGGTGACTCCTCTCTCTTCGATTTTTTATCTTCGAAATTTGAGCACTTGTTTGCGACCGACCCCAACTGCCATGTTATCATGGGAGATTTCAACATTCATAATCAGGAATGGTTAACACATTCATGTTAATTCTTCTTTCGGGCAAGAAACGGAACATTTCACTTTTTTTGACAGTCTGAGCCAAATAGTTTTCTTACCCATACGCGCACCTGATAGGGCTGGCGACCGTGCCCACACCCTTGATTTAATTATCATTGCATTATTTCTTGCTTTATTACTTTTACCAGCCCCAATCTGCCACCCACCTCAAAACACATTCATGCGCTACAACTCGGACGGTTTACGTGGTTTTCTAGCTTTTTATTCTGGGAAAGATTGTTTTTTCCCTTTTCAACATTTTTAAAGCTGTCTCCAATGTCAACGATATCGTTCTTCAAGGTATGCATTTTTTATTCCGCACTTTTCCAAACCTGGCAAACCCAAATCCCCCGAGTAGTTTAGCCACGCACGCATGTGATTGTACTGTACGCCTATAACGCTCAGCCTTCCACCACTGGCGCGGCTCGCCCACTCCTATCTCCGATCATCGCTTAGTGCGGCAACCTTTCTGACTCCAACATTTATAGACTCATTTCCCTCACATCTGTCCTTCTGAAAGTAATTGAAACCGTCATCTCCGACCAACTGTAAGCGTTCCTCGAACGTGGACTACTGGGCAACCGCCAATATTGGCAGCGTCGTTTCACTGGTGACCTACCGCCTCTTGTCTCACAATCCTGGTTGGCTGCACCCGATAGCCACAGAGATACACATGTGGTCTCGCTTGATATCTCAAAGGCCTTCGATTAAGTTTGACACGAAGGTCTACTAGCGAAACTGCCGATGTTCGGGTTCCCTCCGATTCTCGTGTCGTGGATGTCAAGTTTCCTCAGTCAGCGAACCATCTCCGTTCGAGTTGATGGGGTCTATAAGCCATTCCCTATGAAAGTTGGCTTTGTATTTATTTATTTATGTGACCAAATCCTGGAAAAGAATATCGAAATTGCAATACCTCCGGATGACTTGGAACAGCTATTGTACACACAGAACGTTCAGTTTAAGTTCAATGAAGAAATCTATCGCCAAAAGGATGGAATCGCAATGGGATCCCCACTCGGTCCCCTATTTGCGGATTTATGTTGGAGAATACTTTTCGCGCGGCAAAATTACGTATCGTATTCACGTTCAAACCGATCTTGTGTTCACAACTCAACGACAGGATTCCTGCTTCTACAGTCTCATTTTATGTGTACTAGTGTGTGTTCCTGTGGAGCAACGTATATCGGCCACACGAGCAGGCGCCTATCTACACCAGTTCGGGAACATCATCCGGCCTTGCTGAACACTGGTGTGATTAAAGCTATTACAAGTGCCATCATTTCACACACCTCGTCGAGTCCGATCACACAGTGAGTGTGACGGAAGCATTTCTCTCTACTGTGCTCGGGGTCGCAGATCAAAGCCGATTAAAAATCGCATCCTAGCCACGGCAGAGGCGGTTGGAATTCGTCTACATAATCCCCCCTTGTGCGCCCGAAAACAGTTTGTGAAGTCACTCAACCTACCATGACTCTCCACCTCCTCCTCTCCCTCCCAACCCCACCCCAAATCACAATTAACACGGACCAAACTTGAGTTCGAATGGCAAGATCAGCCATGTCCGGTTTTGTGAAATTGGGACAGAAATCAATAACAATAATCCCTATTTCAATAATCATTAGTTTTGTTTCCTCTTTTCCATACGAAATGATGTGACATAAAATGTGACGTATTGGCCAGTTTATGAGTCATCGAAAAAAACTTTTTCGCTAAACTCCTTTTTTCATTCAATGTGTCGCTGGTATATTCCGGGAATTAAAAGTTGGCTTTCCTCAAGGTTAAATACTTGCGCCTACCCTCTTTTTTTCTAATTATCAATGATCTTTCTAAAACTGTCAACACAGTCCATACCCTTGCCGATGACGCCACCCTTTACTGCTTCCTCTTCTACCGCCTAAACCAACATCAATCGAGATCTTAGTGTAATTAGTGTCGCTGGACTCTGGTCTCAAACACTTCATGTTGCATCGTCAGTCATGTTTCATTTAATGCTTCTAAATCTCCATTCTTTCAATTTCTCTAAAACATCATTCATTCTCCCTTCACTTATCTTTTGACACTGCCCGAATGCGTTCCGCAGACTCATTTTCCCTTCTTGGATTGCCTATAACTTCTTTATCCTGGTCCCCTTTTATATCTCAGACTACTTCTCATGCTGCTCGCAAGGTTGATTTTTTATTCCGTACCAGATGCCTCTTCACACCAGCTCATCTTCTGCTGTACAACGCTCAAATCCACCCTGCTGTTGAGTACTGCATTCACGTGTGGGGCGGGGCTTCGTCTTCTCTCCCCAATCGGTCGTTTTCAGCGAAAGGCAATCCAGCTGATTGGTGATCTTTTTTTAACCTCCAATTTTTATGACACAATTGTGTGATGAACAGCATACTTACTGAACCCCGTGGTCACGAAAACCTGCTGTTTACTGATGAGAAACGGTAACGTAAGCCTCGGGATTTCGAGTGGCGCACCACATAAAACCCCTGCAGTCATTAGCACAAAGTGGAGCTGTTGCCTCACTGTCCCTTCTTAACCGTTACTACTTTGTTTTTCCTTCTCAAGAGCTTGTCTCGGTAGTGCCTCTTCTTGTGACTTTTGCCCACTGATCCCATCTTTATCGGATTTTGGTCATCAGACGTCGTACTCTGCTCCAATCTTTTTTCACAAAAATGCCAAGTTATGGAACACTCCCACTTTCTATCTTTTCCTAAACTTACAACCTTACACTTTAAATGCACAATCACTTACCTAGATCGTACGTAAATGTTTTCCTACTCTCCCTTTTACAGTATGCTCTTTGACTCTAGGTATTTCCCTTTTACTGTGTTTCACTTTGTGTAATAAAAAATAGAGACTGAAAAATGGATCCATTTAATAGAACTGGAGTTTATTCGTCTCTTGAATGCCACAGACAATAACTGGGGTTTCAGTCGGTCCCAAGGTTGCCTGTATAACAATGAGCGTTAGCATCCGTTCTTGGAATTTCTTTATCTTGAGGGAGATTTCGAGATGGAGGAAGATTGCAATGGGCTTTTTCTGCTCTGATGGTCCAAGTGAACGGGAAATCCAAAAGGATATCTAGTAAGAATCTTCAGCAGTGGTTAGCTAACTGGTAGTTTTGAAATCTCCTTACTTGATACCTGGTTACTGTAACCTGTTACCTTGTAGAGCATGGAAATCTACACTTCCTTAATTTTACGAATTTCCTGCAGGAAACTGAATTTACCCCGTGTAGCATTCTTCATTCGTCCAGATGGTCATTATTGACGGTAACTATATTGCTTTTTGCCTTTCAGATCGATACCAACCTCATGCTTCGCTGAATCATGTCCGATACCAATTCGAACAGCAAGTTGATCGTTGTTACTGGCTTTGGTCCTTTCGAAAACGTTACGTGTAACCCTAGTTCTATTGTCGTGGATGAACTAAAGAATTTCTGGGACACAAAAAAGGAGCTTATCCCGAATCCCATCCGCTTTGTTACTATTACGCAAATCCCAGTCACCTATAAAGCAGTTGAAAAAGTGGTCGATGAGATCTGGGAGAAAGATCCGGTGAGTTACCAGATTCCATACAATATGATTATCTGGTCGCGATGCCATCATATGACTGAAATAAAATGTTTTTCGAGAAAGCTCTTTCATCGTAACAGATTGCTTGTGTGGTCACCCGGGCAAGTACCACTGTCCAAAGGGTAAACCTCATGCGGTTCCGCACTTAAAGAAAGTTGCCGATTTGTGCCCGCCACACCACAAATCATGCCAAATGACGTAAAAAATCTCAGGCATTCAAACTCTACCCTGGTTGTATTCGCAAACATTTGTAGCCTTAAAGCGACTGTTGATTGTGTTCATTGTGTCCCTCATTTCTTTCTTTCTCTTGCCTTATCCGCATCTACATTCAGTTTCCAAACCCTTCTCTTTACCCACATGTTCTTCTTTTACTTAAGGGTTTATGTGTTTATCTGCAAATCTGTCGCCACCCCGCGCCTTCCTAATTTTTTTATTGTAAACCTAAGTGTGATGAACAGCAGACAGGGCGAACCCCATAGTAACAAGGACCTACTGTTGAGTAGTGAAAACCAGGACTTGGAGCGGCGAACCACTAGGTTAGGCGTGGTATTGACCTGAACAACAGCAAAGCTGCCTACCACCAAAGTCGGGTGGCGGTTTTGGGTGGCTCGAATCTCAGATCATAGGGTCCAAAGCACGCTAGTGACAGCGACTAAACCACTGCGGCACCACCACCCTACTGTTGCTATCTACACCCGCGGAATAAAATCAAACTTTTATCTCCTACTCGTCCTTTGCTGGTGAGGCCTTATGTGGTTTACCACTCCAAGTACCTGAGTTGCCGTGAGTAAACAGCAGGTGCCCATGACTGTGGGTTTACTCATTTTTCTGTTCGTCGCACGATAGCCTGTAAATACTCCTCGCTTGTGTACCAATTTACCAACTACACCGATTGCTTCCTTTTTGATTGCTTGATTCAAGGTGTTGGGTAGGCAGCTCTGCTGTCGTCCGGTTCAATACCACGCCTAACCTATCGGGACCTTATGTGGTTCGCCACTCCAAGTTCCGGGGCTTAGGTTGCCNCTTGTGACTATGGGGTTTACCCCGTCTGCTGTTCATCACACCAAGGTGTGTAATAAAAAAAGGCCACAGTGCCAACATCAACGTCGTTGGAGACATCAGTGTGCACATTATGGAGTGACTCAAGCAGGCAGCACTTATCACTCCACCAGACAACCGATGCGTTTGCCATCTTTTATAATGCGTTGTTCTTTCTGGTTCGCACCTCCACTCGGGTAACTGATCACCCTGATTATTATGTAACTACCTGTTTCGTTATGTAGGTAAAAAACGCAGTGAATTACACAGAACGTTCGTTGTAGTAAGCATACATGAAACCGGTCCTTAGGCCGGTGAGCAGATAGAAGCCGGAAACACGTAGGCACGTATGCAAGTAGGCCAACCAAGGCTTAGACGTCACACAACATCCGAATACGGTCAAGCAGGTATTCAGACAATTAGGCAATCAATCAGCGCGGACAGTTAAATATTAACATCGGTTTGACTGGAACCGATCGATGTTATGATAGAGTTAGTCTGTATGAGGTGAGTATGTGCGAGTGTGGTAGCAGGCATCATCTGTCAATCAATCAATTAATTCATCTGACCACAGGCATGCATGGCGAACGCACCAGTCTATTGTAGGCCAAACAATACCCTTATGTCTTCTTTTTGATGCCAGCTCTTCAAGCGCCTGAAGAATGACCGCGCGAAGTGGCGGGTAGCAAAATGCACTGTGATGGAGAAGGCTCTACCCATTAATAACCTTCACAATCTTTTCTGCTGAATTAGAAGTACGGGTCCATGGAAAGTCGAGTAATTACAGGGTCCGAAGGTACCTTGATTCATTTTTGACGAAATCTTGAGCGATGATCGGAACG